TAGCCCAGCTACTGAGCCACGCTGAAGACAGTCATGCATCCAGCTAGGGAAGTCGCTGGTGTTGGGCAGGCTGTGCTGTGAGACTATCCTGCTGACGCTGTGACCTGTGACAGCTCCGAGAGATGCCCCCTTTTGGATTCTCTCGATAACACCCTCTGGGGTTCTGGCCCAATGACCTCAATGGCGCAACTACTGATTTACACCAGTGAGGCACCTGTCCCACTGTTGTGGAATTCCCGTGTGTCAAGTGGCTCCGTGAACTGAAGGAAGAACTGAGGTGGGCTTTGGTCTGGAAAGGGCTCTCAGAGGGAATCTCTCCTCCTGCCTGGGGAGGGCCCGCTCTGTCCATTGTAGGGAGGCTTGTGTGACAGTGGCTCTCCATGTCCCCAGAGTCATATCCAGAGGGATCTCTGTCCGAAGTGGAATGTCTGATGAGGGAGGGGTGCACCCCATGCCTGGGGGTCTCTGGTGCCTGGCGTGAGTATAGGTGTTCCCAAAGGTTCTTGCTGCTGCACTCACTGGTAGGGCCTGGCCTGGCTGTGTGGGTGCTGGATGTGGGGGGAGTCCTTGAGACCCTGGCAGCGTGTCTCCCTGGATGGCTGTGCGGGTGAAGGGTGAGCACTGGGGACCCTCATAGGGCGTCTCCCTGGGGTGGCTGTGCAGTTGAGTGACATCTGCCATAAAAATACAACGTCAGCTGGGCACAGTCCTGACCTGGGTGAGATGAGACAGAACTGAGGGAGCTTGAAGGGTCTTTAAAAAAAAATCCCAGCTGTTTATACCGATGAGAGATGGTTTCTGTGGGACCGTTTAACCAATTCCTCACCTGTGTGGATATTTCTCAGGACCTGCCTTTCCTCAGAGCCCTGGAGGTCCAGAACCCACAGCTCTTCCTCCCCTTCTCAGCTGGGAAATTATGTTCAGTTTGGGAATTGGAAAACCAGTTGTGAGAAAACAGGTGAGATGAGGGTTTTACAGTTGTCCTGAGACAGAGCTGTTGCCAGATGAGCTGGGTGGGTGGGTCCTTGTATAAACAAAACAAATGGGAAAATTTTCCTGCAGACTCTTTGGGGAGCTCAGGTGGTTCCTGATGTGACATTGACAAACCAGGTGCCACTTTGTGCCAAGATCCCTATGCCTCACTTAGATACTGAAAAACAACCAGAACCAGTCTGGTTCACCTGTGTGTTAGTATTGGTCAAATAGGTAGTAGAGTTATAAAAACGTGCTTAGTGTTTAGACTTTTTTGAATGCTTGTAAGTGCTGTGTACTTTAATCTTACTTATAACATCTGCATCCCATATTGTAAGGTAATAGTTGAGCATTTGCACTGTGAGCCCCTGTAATTGTGTAAACCACCAGACAAGAGAGAAACATTAACTAGCGTGACGTACTAGTATCCAACAAGGGTTATGTCCAGCCCGACAAAGCAAACTCATTGACACAAGAAAAACCAGGAGACATGATGCATCCGACAAACTAGGAGACATGATGCATCCGATGAAGTGGGTATTCACTCATGAAAGCTTATGCTCCAATACGTCTGTTAGTCTATAAGGTGCCACAGGACTCTGCTGCTTTTACAGATCCAGACTAACATGGCTACCTCTCTGATACGTGATGCAAGTGCATTCCTCCCAACAATTGAACTTACAACTCAAAGCAGAAGGGGGGAGGGAATAAAAAGCCTTAACAAGGAGGAATTGTATCTTTATGCTGCTTGGATTCTGAGGGGCAAGGATTACTGAGCATAAACTAAAGATACCCCGTAAAGATACTCTGTTTCCCTGTAGCTCAGATGATGGCCCAGGGCTGCTTCAAACACCCACACTGAGATGTCTGGGCTGACAATTTCACACAGCAACAAACACATGGGGGTGTTTTGTCTGGTGGCTGCAATTGGTCACTCCCCTCCAGGTCCAGGGCAGGGGTTGTGATCAGAGCCCTAATGTTGGGCTTTAACGGCCCAGGTACAGCACAGAGCAATGGAGCAAGGGCCTGGGACCGAGAATGGGACAGCAGAGTTTTGGGGAGCGGGGTTTTATCTCCCTAGACAGAGATGCAGTTACCACAGTAGGGAGATAGTACCACAGAAACCACCAGGAAACTGGGAGTGGGATCCAGGAACCCAGTGGGAAGTGAATGGCTGGGATGGAGTCTGGGCAGGATGAGGGCTCTTCAACGGCTCTGAGTGCAAGAGGAAATGTCTCGATTCTGCCTGTGAGGCACTGGATTCCTCAATGAGCTGGATATGGAGCAGAGAGAGAGGACAGACATTGGAGATGCTGCCGGGCAGAAGGAGATGGGCTGCTCCCCATGGGAAGTGTCCATGAATCATGCCTCCCAGGGACCAGCCGCTCCAGCTCTGAGCGACCAATTAAATTCTCAGGCTATGGGAAGGGAAGACCCAGACACTGAGCCCAGAGGCACTTAGAGCTGCAAGAGCAAAGACATGGAAGCATCAGATATCCCCTTTAAAGTAGGATGGGCAGACACATCAGTGAAAGGGGCTGGATAGGGGGAGTGAGAGATTCCTGTTGAGGGGGAGTGAATAAGAACATAAGAATTGCCATACAGCGTTACACCAAAGGTCCATCTAGCCCATGGACCTGACTTCCCCCAGTGGCCAATGCCAGGTGCTTCAGGGGGAATAAACAGAACAGGGCAATTTTCGAGTGATCCAGCCCGTTGTCCAACCCCACAGCTTCTGGCAGTGAGATGCTTAGGGACACCCAGAGCATGGGGTTCCATCCCTGAACGTCTTGACTAATAGCCATTGATGGACCTAGCCTCCATAAGCTTATCTAATTCTTTTTTGAAGTTATACTTTTGTCCTTCACAACATCCCCTGGCAATGAGTTCCACAGGCTTACTGTGTGTTGTGTGAAGAAACACTTCCTTTTGTTAGTTTTTACCTGCTGCCTATTAACTTCATTGGGTGACACCTGGCTCTTGTGTTATATGAAGGGGTAAATAACACTTCCTGATTCACTTTCTCCACACCATTCATGATTTTATAGACCTCTATCATAACCCCCACTTAATTGTCTCTCCTTTCCAACCTGAACAGTCCCAGTCTTCTCAACATTCTGGTAGCTTGTTTGACTGCTGCTGCTGCACACTGAGTGGATGTTTTCAGAGACCTATCCACCATGACTCCAAGATCTCCTTCTTGAGTGGTAACAGCTTGCTTAGACCCCACCATTTAATATGTATAGTTGGGATTATGTTTTCCCAATGTCCATTACTTTGCATTTATCAACATTGAATTCCTGAGGGGGAATTTGCCCAATGTGGGGCACTTTGCCCCGCACCCGTACAGCTTGAGAACAGAGGAAATGTCTGAGATTCCCTGGGAGACAATGGATTTGCAATAAACATTTTATTAGGAATTTATCTGGGAAAAACAGAAACCAACCAAATTAAAAACTTCAATGAGAAATAAAGATGAATCTGAAATCTGATTTTCCAGAAACAAGAGACCCTCCAGTCGCCCACCATCCCGAAACAAGGAGAAAAATTCCTCATGGAGCAGTTATTTCAGGAAAAATCCCATGTGTGATGTCAACTGAGCCCCTCCCTGAAAACAGGGATGAGGAACTCCTGCTGAAACCCTTCCCGTTGGCTCAGTAACTCACTCCCCCAACACAGAGAGCCAGGAAGGGGCAGGTGAGTGTCAGCACCTCTGTCCTCCTGAGTCACACAAGAATTAGTAAAAAGGAGTACTTGTGGCACCTTAGAGACTAACAAATTTATTTGAGCATAAGCTTTCGTGAGCTACACATCTGATGAAGTGAGCTGTCGCTCAGAAAGCTCATGCTCAAATAAATTTGTTAGTCTCTAAGGTGCCACAAGTACTTCTTTTCTTTTTGCGAATACAGACTAACATGGCTGCTACTCTGAAACAAGAATTAGTGACACCTCACGACTCCCTGTGGAGGGGAGCAACTATTATCCACAACAGAGATGGGAGAAGATGAGGCTGCACAGAAAGGACGGGGAGTGACTGGCACAAGATCACACCAGGAGACACTAGTATGCAGCGTTATTGAACCCAGGGGTCCTGACTGCCCATCTCTCCACTGCCACCCCATGCCTCCCACCTCTACCTGTTGGTATGCCACAGAAGATGATCTGGTATTGGCTTAGTACGCCCAGTCATCACCTCAAAGGGAGTGTGATCTGTGGAGGCAGATGGAGTTGTCCTGAGTGCCATTAAAATGAGTGGAATCAGTGTGTCCCGATAGTATACATTGGCACCTACCACCTTCCGGAGCAGTCGTTCGATGGCGCGATTTGACACGCTCCCCTCTCAGAACTGAGAACTGAACCTAAAGGTCCCAGGGTCCCAGTCTCCACTGCTTTAACTCACTAGCCCTTATTCCCACACAAGAGCTCAGAATAGGACTCAGGAGTCCTGAGTCCCAATTCCCCCTGCTGTCACTATTACACCATACTGTCCTCCCAGGAACAGTGCAACCCCAAATGACAATATCTGTCTGGGCAATCTCCACCATGAATTCCTGTCTCAGTCCTCCCTCCCATCCCACGGCTGCAGAGATGTTCAATACACTGAGCATTGCTCTGAAATCCTGTTGCTTCAGCTTAGCAGCACCATCTCCCTTATAACCACAGCCCCACGAGGCTTCTCGCTACTTCCCTGTGGAACGTCCCTCTCCCCGTCTTGAGGGGCCTGAGGAGCTGAGACACAAACGGCCACAGGGCATTTTTACCTCACCCCTACATTGGAAAGTGTGTGTGGAACCCACAGAAACATCTTGTTACTATTCTCATTGTCTGCTTCACCCAGACCCAGAAACAACACAGCTCCCACTACCCAGCATTCCTGCCTTGTCTGGGCCCCATCAACCATTCCCCATTAAAACCCCAACCTTGCACCCACCTGCTCCCCCTGCCCAGACTCTCCTCAAATGAAGCACATTTACACTTTGCTTCAAGAGGACAAAGACCGATTGCCCAACAGAGAGAGCTCCAAACACCTTTTACCCTGTGTGCAGTTTCTGGTGGGATATTAGCGAGACCTTCGCCTTGTAGCTTTTCCCACAGACAGAACATGTATATGGTTTATTTCCAGTGTGCATTCTCTGATGGACAATAAGGGCTGAGCTCTGGGTAAAGTTCTTTCCGCACTCAGAGCAGTTAAAGGGTTTCTGTCCTGTGTGAATTCTCTGATGCCTAATAAGGTGCGATCTCTGACAGAAACTTTTCCCACATTCGGAGCAGTTAAAGGGTTTCTCTCCCGTGTGGATTCTCTGATGCAAAATTAGTTGTGAGCTCCGCTTGAAGCTTTTTCCACACTCAGGGCAGTTATGGGGTTTCTCTCCCACATGGATTTTCTGATGTGAAATAAGGTCTGAGCTGCGCTTGCAGCTTTTCCCACACTCAGGGCAGTTATGGGGTCTCGCTGCCATGTGAATTTTCTGATGTACAGTGAGGTTTGATCTCTGGCTGAAGCTCTTTCCACAGACAGAGCATTTATAAGGTTTCTCTCCTGTGTGAATTCTCTGATGCCTAATAAGGTGCGATCTCTGACAGAAACTTTTCCCACATTTGGAGCAGTTAAAGGGTTTCTCTCCCGTGTGGATTCTCTGATGCAAAATTAGTTCTGAGCTGCGCTTGCAGCTTTTCCCGCAGTCAGGGCAGTTATAGGGTCTTGCTGCCGTATGGATTTTCTGATGTACGGTGAGGTTTGATCTCTGGCTGAAGCTCTTTCCACAGACAGAGCATTTATAAGGTCTGTCTGCTGTGTGAATTCGTCTGTGTGAAATAAGGTCCGAGCTCTGTTTGAAGCTTTTCCCGCAGTTGGCACATTTATAGGATGCCTCTCCCGTGTGGATTCTCTGGTGCGAAATCAGGTTTGAGCTCAGAGCAAAGCTTTTCCCACAGAAAAAACATTTATAGGGTGTCTCTCCTGTGTGGAGTCTCCGATGTTTACTAAGGTCCGAGCTCTGCCTGAAGCTTTTCCCGCAATCGGGGCACTTATAGGGTCTCTCTCCTGTGTGGATTCTTCTATGTGAAATCAGGTACGAGAAATTAGAAAAATGTTTCCCACACTCCAGGCAGTTATAGGGTCTCTCCCCTGTGTGGACTCTCTGGTGTTTAAGGAGGTTTGAACTCTGGCTGAAGCCTTTCCCACAGTCAGGGCATTTATAGGGTCTGTCTGCCACATGGGTTCTCTGATGTACACTAAGGTCTGATCTCTGCTTGAAGCTTTTCCCGCACTCAGGACAGCTATAGGGTGCCTCTCCCGTGTGGATTCTCTGGTGGACAATAAGGTACGCTTTCTGACGGAAGGTTTTCCCGCAGTCGAGGCATGTATACGGTCTCTCTCCTGTGTGGATTCTCTGGTGTGAAATCAGGGATGAGAAATAAGCAAAATATTTCCCACACTCAAGACAGTTGTGGGGTTTCTCTCCTGTATGGATTGTGTGATGTGAAATAAGGACTGAGCTCTGCTTGAAGCTCTTCCCACAGTCAGGGCATTTATATGGTCTCTCTCCTGTGTGAATTCTCTGGTGTAAAACAAGGTCTGAACTGTGCTTGAAATTTTTCTCACAGTTGAGGCATTTATAGGGTCTCTCTCCTGTATGGATTCTCTGATGTACAATAAGGTTTGATATCTGATTGAAGCGCTTCTCACAGCTGGGGCAGTTATAGGGTTTTTCGCCGCTGTGGACTCTTTGATGCCTAACAAGATTGGATTTCCGGTTGAAACTTCTCCCACACTCAGCACAGTCATATGGTTCCTCTTTACTGAAGACTCTTGGCAGGATCGTGGTTTCCTTAAGGTCCTTCAGACCCCCCACTTGGTAAGTGGATTTACCCAGTTTCATCCCTGGGTTGATTCCTTGCTGTCTCTCACAGGCTTCTCTCTGCTCAGGACTCCGGGAAACGTCCGCTTCAGTTTTTCCGGATAGATTTCCGTGTTCCACTTGCTCAGGAACTTCCTGCTGAGGATCCTCCTCCTCGCTCTCACCCACCATCCCGTCACCTGCTGGGACAGAGAGATACTTGAGGCAGGAGTCATTTCCTGTGCCCGAGGGGAAAGGGAACCTCAAAAAAGTGAATGGGATGGCAGGAAATAAACCAAAAGATCTGATGGGGAGATGCAAAAATCAGGAGCCAAATCCCTCCCCCCTCCAAACCCTTCCCCAGAAAGGAGAGAGGAGGGGACCAATTCTGCCTCCACATCCCAAGTGAGCACACAGTGGGGCAGGAGCTACTTCTAGGTGTCAGTCAGGATGGGTGGGGAGCCCTGAGTTGCGTCTGACACCAGCTAGTCACAATCCTAACCTGGGTGAGATGAAGCAGACGTGGGGGAGCCCACAGGCCCTTTGTGAGAATCCCAGCTGATTATGCCAATGACGGGTGGTTTCTGTGTCCATTTAATCACTTCCTCACCTGTGCGGACGTTTCTCAGGATGTCCCTTTCCTCAAGGCTCGGGAGATCTGTCACCCACGGCTCTTCCCCTCGTTCCAGCTGGGCTATTATGTTGGGTTTGGCAATTGGAAATCCTGCTCCAGGGAAAGAAAGCAAGTGAGACCAGGATTTTACAATTATTCTGAGACACAGCTGTTTCCAGACGTGCTGGATGAGTGGTTGCCCTTGTATTCTTCACAGAGTTTAAGGGCAAAAGGGACCCATAGATCTTCTAGTCTGACCTCCTGTGTATCAGAGGCCCTATATTAAAGCCCAGAGACTTTTGTTGAAAAGATTTCCGTCCCCAGGAGAGTAAACTGTGTGGCACAGGGAGAGAACAGGACAGACCAACATGCTACTAATGTCTGAGGCCCCTGCAATGGCAGGGAACTGATTTGGTAAGAGATGTTCAGATGATTCCAGCAGGTGATCCAGGCCCAATGCTGCAGACTCAGGAAATCTAACCCCTCCCCCGACTAGGTTCCAGCCAATCGGAGCTGCAGAAAAATTCATTCCTAACCTCAAATCAGGTGATCAGTTTGACCCTGAGCATGTGAGTAAGACACACCAGCCAGGAATCTAGAAAGAGGGTTCTCTGTACCACCTCGATGTACTGGTCCACCCCATCTGGTGTCCTGTCTTCAACTGTGGCCGATCTCTTATGCTTCAGAGGAAGGAAACATACAAACAAAGACCCCATTCTAGAACACAACTAGCCATTTGTACATTGGGGAAAAATATTCTTTTCTGACCGCTGTAAATGACCAAAAAATTATTATAATCATTATTCAATGACAAAACAGAAAAAAACACTTAATGAATGCAGTGACACCCAAACCTCCAAAAACCCAAGAAAAACGGAGTTAAAGTATTTCAGTCTCAAACTTCTGAAAATCCAGGAAATTGTACTGGCATGGCAGGGCCACTATAGTTAAGGTTGCATCATGACTTCTGTTAAAAGGTTGATTTTTCTAAGTCCTCTAAAATCAACATCCTTTGTCAGACTCTTTTGAAATTTGGTGTGCGTCAGGAGGGTGTTGGGTGCAGTTAGTGACCCAAACTTTGGGGTTATTTGAGCTAGAGGTGCCAGAAATATAAGGCCTGAGAAAAATAGCCATTTTAAAAAAGAGTTTCTACATTTTTTTTTTTTTTTTTTTTTTGCATAGGGCTAGAGATCAAACTATTGAAGTGATGCAGGGCAGAATGATCTCAATCTGCTGAGTTTTACCCAAAATAGTGCATGGCACACCCTCAATCTTTGGGGGATGCAGACTGAGAATGAGATTTAAGAAAATGTACATTTTTTACAGTATGCATGCACCAATACAGAAAAAGAATTAACGGGTTTCCATTTCTGCCATTTTATAGGCTTTAAAGCTCAACTCTTGCAAGTGCTCTAAAAGCAGAATGGTCACTCAGATCACTTTGCATTTTGTGTGCCTCCTTGGAATGTTGGGTAGCACCAGTGACCAAAATTTGGGTTCTTTTGAGGGGTTCTCGAGTTACAAGTCCTTCAAAAATGTCCTTCTGCTGCCTTGTACTGTTGAACTGAGACTCCCTGAGACTGATGGCTGTGAACTTACCCTTCAATTAGCATAACTAAGGCTAAGTTAATCACAAGCCCCCATCTAAGACACAAGGAGATATGGATTGAGTGGCCAGAGGTTGCTACAATTTGTGAATCATGGGTCACAATTTCATTTTGGGAGGAATGTAATCAAAATATTTTTGGGGAGGGGGAAACAGACATGGGAGGGGAGAGGTATTAGGGGGCAGAGGAGTGGGGGAATAAGGGAAGAGGGGTATAAATGGGGTGGATGATTAGGGAGGGAAGAGAGGTTGGGGGCTCAGGTGAGGGAGGCATGGAGATTGCGGGGAGTGGAGGAGTGGGACACTGAGTTCCACTACACCCATCTACCCTGCCCCTGCCCAGGCCATAAAACATCCCACAGAAACTGGATTAAAGCATATTTTTTAAAGAGAGAACTAATTTCACGCTAAAGACTCAAAGTGATGATGAGTCCCCTACCCCCCTTAGTAAGATGGTTCCAATGTTTAATTATCCTCACTGCTGGGAAATTGCATCTTATTTCAAGGAAGAATTTGTGTAACTTCAGCTTCCAGCCACTGCGTCAAGTTATTCCTTCCTGAGCAAAGCTTAACCCCCCCCTTCCCCTCCATTATCAAATCTATTTTCCATGTGTAAGTACCTAAACACACTGATCAAGTCCCCTCTCAACCTTCTCTTCAATAAGCTGGATAAGTTGAGCTCCTCCCATGGAAAGGCCTGTCTTCCAGCCCCGGGGCCTTCCTTGTGTCCCTTCTTTGAACTCTCTCCAATGTTCCCACATCCTTCTTGAAGTGTGGACACCAGAACTGGAGGCGGTATTCCAGCAGTGCTCTCACCAATGCTGCGTATACAGGCAAGAGCTCTTCCTCGCTTCTGCCTGATACTCCCCTTTTTACACACCCAAGGATCACCTGAGTCCTGTTTCGCACAGCGCTGCATGATTATCTACAATGTCGATAGTTTCTTCCTCAAACTGTCACCAAACCAACAGACTTGATGCAATTTTAGACTTGGTTTTAGTAAGTAGTGAGGACATCATAGAAGAGGTGGTCGTAGGAAATAACCATGGCTCTAGTCACAGGTTGATTCAGTTTAAATTAAAAGAAAGGATAATGAAACCCAGGTTATCAAGTATGATTTTTTATTTCAGAAGGTCAGATTTGGCTACTTCTATGGGGTTATGCCAGCGCAGCAGCTAGGCTGCTCTGACCTCCGCAGTGCAGCCAACCCCAGAATCCTTCATGCTGTAGGTACAATCTGAATTCTTGTAGTCTCAGATGTATTACCTTGCATTTGGCTGTACAAGTACTAGAACACCTTTTCAGAGATTATGACCATTTAAGCAGGAAATTCAGATCACTCGGTAACAATAACCTGTCCTCATTATTGATACCCCACTAATCTTTGTGTCATCCACAAACCTTATCAGCAAAGATTTTACATCATCATGAAGACTCTTAATAAAAATATTAAGTAGTGTTGGACCAAGAATTGCTCCCTAGGGCACCCACTAGAAACACCCCTGCTCATTGACTTCCCCCATTAACAAAAAATTTTTGAGATCCGTAAGTGAGCCAGTTATGAATCCATCTACTGTGTGGTCTTGTTCATTCCATATAACACAAGCTTTTTAAATCAAAATGTCGTGGTACCAAGTCAAATGCCCTGAAGAAATCCAAGTATACTATATCAACACTGCTGCCTTCTTCAACCAGAGCTGCATAAACCAAACAGATGTTCCTGAAGACCCTTTGGGCATGCCGGTTAGATAGTTCTTGGGAGGCATACAGCTCCCCCTGCAGGAGGTTCAGTGATCTCCACACACTGGGAGATATTATGACTTTGGCACAATACAATTGAGCAACCTCTTACTCCTTCCTAACCCTGCTGAGATCACAGCCCTTTCCAGCCATGGAGATAGTCCTGAGAAAGGATGGAGAGGAGACATCTTTCTGTGTGTGAAAGTGAGAAACACAGGGTGCTACCTATAGCCCATCCTCTCCCTTGGAAGTTTTGTGGATGAGCATCTCCACTATGTCTCTGAATCTCCTCTCCCCTGGGAGGGGTATCAGGAGGGAGCAGTCTCTCTCACATGGTTTCTGGGGCTGATCCTCCTGAAAACTAAGAGACCACGGAAGAACCCTGAGCAGAAGCTGACCCAAATGCTTCAGAGACCCTCACCCCTTCTAATACCCGAGGGGACAGGAATCCTTACCTAGAGAGGTCACATTCTCATAGTTCTGCTGCATGACGTCCCTGTAGAGGGCTCTCTGATGGGGGTCCAGCAGAGCCCACTGCTCTTCAGTAAAATACACAGCCACCTCCTTGAAGGTCACCAGCTCCTGAAACAGCCAGAGTCCCCCTCTCAGAACCTGCTCCCCTGGGCACAATCCCACCAGCTCAGTCACAGGCAGGGCTGCAAAATCCCTCACCCACAGAGAGCAGGAAATTTTCCCTGGGGCAGGGGAAATTTCTAAAAGCTGTCATTAAAAACACACTATTTTTGTGGTGAAACTGTGATGCCAACTCCGCTGATTTTATCATGAGTCTCACAATATTTAGTTGGGATTTTTGGACTTTTCCCATGATCTCATAATTCCTGGCACAGAACTCACACATTCTCCCTTGTTCTGCATGGCCACCACCTCCCATTACTTTCAGAGGGGTAGAGTCAAACTGCCCTTGTGACGGGTTGGATCACAAAACCCCCCTTAGGAACTGCCAGCTGATGTGCTGAGACTCTCTCTGAGCCTGTTTCCCTTGCCAGCTTGGAATTTCAGAACCCTGCCCGGTTGTGCCAGACACGCTAGACTGCTACAAACACAGACCCAGGTCTGAACCATGTCCCCCACAAGCTGCAGGCTTAACTGAAAACAGTTCAAGAAATGTCTCCAGCACTCAGATACCCAACTCCCAATGGGGTCCAAACCCCAAATAAATCCGTTTTACCCTGTGTAAAGCTTATACAGGGTAAACTCATAAATTGTTTGCCCTCTATAACACTGATCAGAGAATCATAGAATATCAGGGTTGGAGGGGACCTCAGGATGTTATCTAGTCCAACCCTCTGCTCAAAGCAGGATCCAATCTCCAATTTTTGCCCCAGATCCCTAAGTGGCCCCCTCAAGGATTGAACTCACAACCCTAGGTTAGCAGGCCAATGCTCAAACCACTGAGCTATCCCTCCCCCCAGAGGAGATAGAGAGATATGCACAGCTGTTTGCCCCCCCCCCACGTATTAATACATACTCTGGGTTAATCAATAAGAAAAAAATGATTTTATTAAATACAAAAAGTCGGATTTAAGTGGTTCCAGGTAATAACAGATAGAACAAAGTGAATTACCAAGCAAAATAAAATAAAACACACAAGTCTAAGCCTAATACAGTAAGAAAACTGAATACAGATAAAATCTCACCTTCAGAGATGTTTCAATAAGCTTCTATCACAGACTGGACACCTTCCTAGTCTGGGCCCAATTCTTTCCCCGGTACAGTCCTTGTTCCAGCTCAGGTGGTAGCTAGGGGATTTCTCATGACTGCAGCCCCCTTTGTTCTGTTCCACCCCCTTATACATCTTTTGCACAAGGCGGGAATCCTTTGTCCCTCTCTGGGTTCCCACCCCGCCTTCTAAATGGAAAAGTACCAGGTTAAAGATGGATTCCAGTTCAGGTGACATGATCACATGTCACTGTAAGACTTCACTACACACTTGCCAGCACACAGGTATACAGGAAGACTTACAAGTAAACAGAGTCATCTACAGTCAATTGTCCTGGTTAATGGGAGCCATCAAAATTCCAAACCACCATTAATGGACCGAACTTTGCATAATTACAATAGGCCCTCAGAGTCATATTTAATATTTCTAGTTTAAGATACAAGAAGGATACATACATGACCACACTCAGTAGATTATAAGCTTTGTAATGATACCTTACAAGAGACCTTTTGCATGAAGCATATTCCAGTTACATTATATTCACACTCATTAGCATATTTTCATAAAATCATATAGAGAGTAATGTCACAGCCCTTATTCAAAATGGCCACCATTTCCCTACAGTTTGTAAGCCCACCTCCAGAGTTACTCTTGGCTTCTGAGTGCTGTAGGATGGCAACAGAGCTTTGGTATCAACACATTCAGGGGGTTGTTTCCTCACACAGGAGTATTTCCACCCTATCCCTAAAATTCAGGCCCTACCTTAAAGAAGAGGTAGTGTATAAGGTTAGGTTAGTACAGTAACTCCTCGCTTAACGTTAAGTTATGTTCCTGAAAAATGCGACTGTAAGCGAAACAATGTTAAGCTAATCCAATTTCCCCATAAGAATTAATGTAAATAGGGGGGGTTAGGTTCCAGGGAAATTTTTCTCACCAGATAAAAGACTATATTATATATATACACAGTATAAGTTTTAAACAAACAATTTAATACTGTACACAGCAATGATGATTGTGAAGCTTGGTTGAGGTGGTGAAGTCAGCGGGTGGAAGAGGGTGGGATATTTCCCAGGGAATGCCTTACTGCTAAATGATGAACTAGCTTTTGGCTGAGCCCTCAAGGGTTAACTCATTTGTGTTAATGTAGCTGCACACTCTACAAGGCAGCACAAATGGAGGGAGGGGAGACAGCATGGCAGACAGAGACAGAGACACACACACCCTTTGTGAGAGAGAGTGCCCCTTTAAGTAGGCTGACCCCACTCTTAAGTACACTGCCTTTTTAAGTAGATAAGCAAATTGAGACAGCAGCTGCTCCAAGGAAGCTCCCTTTGTCCTGAGCCCTGTCCTGTCGTCCCCCACACAATGGAGATGGGGTAAGTGGGGTGCAGGAGCAGGAGGGAGGGGGACACCCTGACATTAGCCCCCTCTCTTCCCCCCTGCACAGCAAGCAGGAGGCTCCCGGGAGAAGCTCCAAGGCAGAGGGCAGGAGCAGCATGTGGCAGTGGGGGGAGGGACAGCTGAGCTGCCGGCAATTGATAGCGTTCTGGGCGGCTGATGCACAGGGAACTTAGGGAAGTGGGGAGCTGATAGGGGGGCTGCCGGTCCACCCTGTTTCCAAGCCCCCACCAGCTAGCTCCAATGGGCTGCTCTTCCTGCAAGCAGTGGACAAAGCAGGCGGCTGCCAAACGACGTTATAAGGGAGCATTGCACAACTTTAAATGAGCATGTTCCCTAATTGATCAGCAACGTAACAACGAAACAACGTTAACCGGGACGACTATAGGTGAGGAGTTACTGTATTTCTTTAAATGGTTTATGAGCTCTTTAGTGGAGCTCACTGTGTTCTAGGTTTTAGAAGCCTCCAGAGCCAATCAGAGCAGCGGTGGGTATGTAGCTAGGCCTTGGGTATCTGTGTAAATTTACTAAATGTGATTATTTGGAATCCAACTATGTCTGTGTAGTTTCATTGAGTTCTTTGGCATATTACACAGTAAAAAGACACAACAATTTGCACCGAGGACATGGTCCAAATCCAGGAATACAGTGGAATAGACACTGATGGCAGAGGCCCAGTGAAAGTGAATCTACAAAGAAATTGCTACCTGCAGCCAGTTGGACTGTTTATTAAATCAGGGTGGAAGAGGGAAAGGTTAAAAGTGCCTAGTATTTGGGGAAAACGGGCTTGTATAATAGCTCAGTAGAGGACGAACCCACCGATATCAAGAGAACATGGAGCCCAGTGACAATATGTCTTCGCTGCAGAGTTAACTCCAGTTTATGAGGTACTCCTCATAAATTAGCCTAGCTTGAGTAAGAGAGGCCAGACAGCGAAATAACACCTGAGTTACCGTGTCCACTGTCCACACCGGTGCTGCTCTCACTCGTGTGTGTTGCTAAGACTTTCGGGGGCACATCCCATGATTCTTCATTCTGCAGGCAGCTGTGCTGCTCTCAAGTTAAGGGTTTTGTGTGTGGACTCGACTCAAGTCAGGGGCAGCACTCGAGCTATAACTAGAGTTAACTTTGCAGTCATGACAAGCCCCGGGACAGTTATAGCACCTCTAGAATTGTTAGAAGAAAACAAAATGTTGTTTGGAATTCTTTACAATGTAGATTAAGTTAGACTTCAAATGAAGCTTGATACAGGGTGTGCTCTGTCTTATTTCATAGCGGGATTATCAGAGGCTATTTACAGAAGTGAAGTTGTGGAAAACCTCAGTGCTACTGAAAACATACAATGGACATCCTCTCTCCCTGAGGTCTTATTAAAGTGAAGGTAACATAAATAAAGTGCATATGCTGGACCTGTATGTTGTGAAGTGAAAGGATCCAGTAATAAATAATAGAGAATGACATGGATTCAACTGGACTGGCAGAGCATAAAAGCCCTTCATGTTTATTATTATTATTGATACCGATACAAAACAAATTAGCTGAACTTATGCACAAGAAAGCTGATGTCTTTCACTGAATGTCTGCCTAAACCAGCTTTTAAGCACAAGTTCAGCAGGATGTCCCACCTGCTGACCCCTGAGGGGAGCACGGGTGATCTCCCGACTGTTTCCCTTCACCTGAGGGGAGCATGAGCGATTCCCTGACTGTCTCCCCCTGCCCGAGGGGAGCCCGTGGCGATCCTCCAACTGCCTCCCCCTGCCCAAGGGAAACACGGGTAGTCCCCCAACTGTTTCCCCCCTGCCTGAGGTGAGAACGGGTGATCCCCCGATTGTCTCCCCCAACCTGAGGGGAGGGCAGGTGATCCCCCAACTGTCTTCCCCTGAGTGAGGGGAATGCGGGTGATCCCCTGACTGTCTCTCCCAGCCTGAGGAAAGTGCGGGTGATCCCCTGATTGTCTCCCCCCTTCCTGAGGGGAGCACAGGCGATCTTCTGACTGCCTACCCCTGCCTGACGGGAACATGGTCGATCCCCCAGATGACTCCCCCCGCCTGCTGGGAGTATGGGCGATCTCCCAACTGTCTCCCCCGGCCTGAGAGGGGTGCGGGCAATCCCCTGACTGTCTCCCTGCTGCCTGAGGGAATGTGGGCAATCCACCAGCTGTCTCCCTCCTGCCTGAGGAGAGCATGGGCAACCACCTTACTGTCTCCCCTACCCTGAGGGGAGGGTGGGCGATGCCCTGTCTGTCTCCCACAGCCTGAGGGGAGCGCGGGCAATCACCTAACTGTCTCCCCCTGCCTAGTGTGTTGCCACTTTTGCCCTCAAAGGGATTTGCCGAACTCAGGCAGAGAGCAAGTGGCCTGGGAAACACAGAGGGGCCTCCCTACGCTGTGGAGACTTTTCCCACTCTGAGTAATGCCTATTGATGCCGAAGAGAGGTTAGAACCCTGGGCGAATCGGCACCCTCATCACCCCATCGCACTCCAGCAGCTTCAGGCCTGCAACATCTCATCAAGGAATATGGGGTCCTCCACCTTTTGGAGCCCACTAGTGTGGAATAAACTGGACTCGTCAATCCAGGGCAATCCACCCTCGGGGTTGTGTTACTTGTGAGTTGTATGGTGTTACTGATGTATCTACTCCAAGACCATTTTTCCCTTCCCTTTATAGGCTTCCTGTATATTTCCCCTTGTAAATAAAGTGTACATTGATTGTTGGTTCATCCATTAGGGAAGCTATGTACAGAGGCATCAGGCTAGTCCTGGGGGTAAGGACCAGGTCAGGGATAACTGAAACTACATAGGGAGGTAGGGTAGGGTTCCTGGCTCCCTTAAACAGTCAGATGGGGGCACTATAGCTAGTAGCTGAGAACCCAGGCAGTTGAAACCCACTGAGGCCGAAGCAGAGGGACATACGGGAAGGGCTCCTGTTGATGATTAGCTGCCCTTAAGGACCAAGCAATCCAAAAAACCCTTTACATCCCTTCAAGCAGTTTGTGAGCTGTCTGGTGGCTCACTATGTTCTGTGGTTTAGAAGCTGCCAAGGACTAATCTAAGCAGTAGCGTAAATATGTGGCTAGACCTTGCATGTCTGTGTATAGTTACTAAATATGGTTAATTAGGACCTAGCTGTGCCCCTGTGGCTTCTCCATATTGGTTTTGTTGTGTAGAGAACAAAGGACACAACAGAGGTTTTTCATTCCCCATTCAGCTTTCCTCCTGTATTTCCTGTCTCTCCCCCACGTCCAGACCAAGCCCACCCTCCCCAGCAGCTCCCTGCAAAACACTTACCTGAGCCAGCACCACTGAAGCAGCCATGTCTCTTCCCCGTCCCCTGGGAGGATGAGAGGATCTGGAGCAAGATGTGGATGTCATTCTGCCTCCTGTCAGTGCAAGAAGGGCCATTGGGCAGGCATCAGAAAATGCTTTAGTCTATTTTACACCCCAGTTTCCCCCAGGGCTCTTTACCTGAAGCCAGACTCTCGATTCTGCCAGGCTGGAAAAACACTTGATCACTTTATTGCAGCACAGACCCAGCCCCTCCCACCAGGACTAAACCCACTGAGACATTTTTAAAAGTCTCTAAACCAAACCTTAGGGCAGGTCTACACTTACAATGCTGCTGCAACACAGTTGCATCTTCAGTAAAGATGCTACCTATGCCAACAGGAAGGCTTCTCCTGTCGAGGTAGGTGCTCCACCTCCCAGAAGGCAGTAGCTATGTCCATGGGAGAATTCTCCTGTCAATCTAGCACTGTCTACACGAGGGGTGACCAACCTGAGCCTGAGAAGGAGCCAGAATTTACCAGTGTGCATTGCCAGAGAGCCACAGTAATACGTCAACATCCTCCCATAAGCTCTGCCTGCCCCACTCCCAATGCCTCCCACCCACCGGCAGCCCCGCCGATCAGCACCTCCCCCTCCCTCCTGATCAGCTGTTTTGTGGCATGCAGGAGGCTCTGGGGGGTGGGGTGGGGGAGGAGCGAGGGCATGGCAGGCTCAAGGGAAGGTGCGGGAAGGGGTGGAGTGAGGGCAGGGCCTGTGGCAGAGCCAGGGGTTGAACAGTGAGATCCTGCTGGCACATTGGAAAGTTGGCACCTGTAGCTCCAGCCCCGGAGTCGGTGCCTGTACAAGGAGCCGCATAGTAACCTCTGAAGAGCCGGATGTGGCTCTGGAGCCACAGGTCGGCCACCCCTGGTCTACACTGGGGATTAGGTTGGTTTAATTGTGTTACTTTTCTTGGGGTGTGGATTTTCACACCCCCGAGTGAGGAAGTTATACTGACCTAATTTCCTAGTGTAGGAATTTCCTGGCCTTAGAAAAGAGCAGACTCAAAGGAGCCCGTTTGGGGGACCCTGCCTGACTCTGTCCCGGACGGCGGCACATTCCCTCAGCAGTGCAGGGACCAGGCGGAGCAGCAACTGGTTTTCCTCTCCCTGCTCCTGACCTTGTTCCCAGGAAAGTCAGTCTGTCCCCGGGGCGCTGCAGGGAACGAGGCTGGGCAGGGCTGGGAGCCGGGAACCTCCCTCCGCAATAAGCTCCTGCTGCCCCTTCCAGCCTGGTTTTCCCCCATCTCCTTCGCCCTCTGCCCAGGAGACTTGGTCACTGTGCTGGGGCCATTCACTCTCCGGGCTGGATCGGCTCCTGCTAACGAGAGCTTCGGGGAGCCAGGGAGCGAGGGCAGCAGCCGGCCTGGGACTCGCAGACCCCCGGGAGCGGAGCTGGGGCGAGGAGGGGCCGTTGGTGCGGAGTCACTTTCCTGCCCGGCCCCGGCCCTTCCCCCGGGTCTCTCCCCTCACCTGCAGGCTCCGGCTCAGGGGCTGGTGTCGGCGGAGCCCGGGGCTGGTTCCAGCCGCCGCAGACAGTGCCCCCGGCTGGGCCCAGAGGGGGCTCGGACAGACCCCACGGGGGAGCAGCAGCCGCTCGGCCCAGGCTCCCCGATCACAATGGAGGCGGCGGCAGCAGCAGCCGCTGAGCCAGGAAGCGCAGCCCCGGGGAGGGAAGGGGCGGAGGAGAGGAGTTTCCCCACCACGCCGAGCTGTCACGGAGCAGGCTGGAGCGGTCTGAACACGCTCGGGAACATCTGCTGAAGCCGCCGCCCTCACTTGCCATCGGAAGCTGCTCCCCGCGGCAGGGCGGCCCCCCGTTTATGGGGCGGGGGCCGAAGCGTGTCCAGGAGCGGGTGGAGCAGCTGGCGGAGGCAGGGGAATGAGGGGGGGCAGGTAGACAGAGTCAGGGAGAGGGGGCAGGAACCGGGGTTAGGATGGGGGAGATGCGCTGCCAGACAGGGGCAGAAGGGGAAACCCTGGGACAGCGAGGGGCAGAGGGGATAAAAGTGACCACAATGGGGTGAGCCCTGGGCAGTGGTTGCCAAAATAGCACATGGGTGGCAGAGAGGTTTGTGTTCCTTGCTGGCCCGTCTCAGCAACCCCACTCCTGGGCTGTGGTGTTAAAGCGCATGACCAGATATGTCTTTGTTACACAAAATAATTCATTGGCACTTTATGGGGGTCTTATCTCCCGTTCGGATGCCTGAAAGTTACTCTGTTTCCAGTAAACTACTGTAAATGCAATTTCACTTCAGTTTATTTATTTATTTGTAATGCTTTTTAACAGCAGTGTTTTGGTTACTCCTGTTTTCCTTAGCATGCCTTGGTTAACATTGTGCAGATGGATGTCACTGTGCTGCTTAGTGTAAGGTGCTAATAATAAACCCTCACAGAAAATAGTAATTGGTGCTGGTATTTAAGCCATCACTTACAGTGTTCCTAGCAGAACATTTCCTTTGTTCTTACCAGGATTTTGTAATTTACAATTGTTATTTCACAATTTGTTCTTTTTATTTTTCCTCTAGCACAAGTTTATTCTTTACCACATGACCTCATGGAAATCATAGACATGTACGGCTGGAAGGGACCTCAAGAAGCCATCAAGGTCATCTCCCTGTGCTGTGGCAGATTCAGTAGAGACCCCCCCCCGACAGGTGATTAACCTGCTTAGGTATGTTGGAAATCCTACAGGCACCTAATTGCAACTTGAGATGCCGAAAAACTTTTGAAAATTTGTCCTAAAGAACGTAGGCTCTATCTACAGAATGGGGGGCTGTATCCTGGAAAGCGGTGTCCCTGGAAAGGATTTAGGGGTCCTAGTGGACAAATAACTAAACCTAAGCTCCCAGTGCAATGCTGTAGCTTCTGAGCAGAGCTGCTGAATTGGGCCCTGAAGGCAAGATAAACGGAGGAGCACCTATTTTCCCTAGAGTCAGGGTCGTTCTAGGAATCGGGCAGGAGATAGATATGTGGGTGCCTAGCGGGGGGGCAGCAGTGCACATGTCTAGAGGCAGAAACACAGGCACTTAGGGGACTGCTACTGCAAAAATTTAGGCACCAAGTGAATGCAGGTTTTTGCGATTGGTAGCAAATTCTGATGGGAAGCAGTTCCTGACACGCGGACCAGCTTCAACTGCCCGGATCTCAGCCCCTTCCCCACCTGGGCTCCAATGATGGAGTCTCCCCTCCCTTGCTCAGACCCCCTTCCTGAATCCCACCTCCTGCTGTATGAAATGTGGAGAAATAATATATGAGAGAGCCAATGAGGGCCTGATCCTGCAAACCATCCCATTTGAATCATCATGTTGGTGTCCAGGGGTGCTGCTGTAACAAGAGCTGCTGGGAAAGAGCCTGGGGGTGCTCGGTGTTGACAACAGGGGGCGATACTACCCCTGAATTGGATCTTTACTGGTGTCCAGTGGAACAGATCACTGTCATACCAGTGAAAAAGGTCCACAGCAATTATTTTCAATCAACAATAGTTTCTTAAGAAGGAATTACACGAGCGGTAAAGGGTTACATTAAGCACATAACTTCTATGTTAGATATTAAGAGCAATACATTAAGAGCTATAAATTCCTCTTAACAAGTCTCTCTTTTACAAACATACACAAGCAGGCCCTGTGCTAGCCTGATGCAGTTCCTGCTTGGCTAACAGAGAAGGTGGTTACCAATTTTATGGACGGCTTCTTCTCTCCAGGTCTGTTCTTCTCAGCCCTCTGGCCTGTCTCGGATTCCCTCGAGGCAAGGCCTTGGCTGCCTTGAGACCCCTCTGGTTCACAGTCCTACTCGAGCCCACGGAGCAGAGTTTTGGCTACTCTGTCTGGCAGCATTGCTTCTTCAAGAGTCAATTAAGGAATCTCAACCAACAGTAATTTACTTTGCTTGATTCTTATACTCTTTTTCCTCAAAGGAGTCACATGTCTTAAAAGCATGCCCAGTGGGCGTGTGGTTATTAATTTTATTTATTTAGTATTTTAGAAGGGGCTGGAGAGGTACCCAATGAAAATCACTCCACACCACTCCACTCCACGTTTACTCACTCATCAATCATTCACTCTGGCTCTCTGCGTGGTGTCCTTGCTGCAAGGTCACTACAACCAGGTCGCCCTGTGCTCCATGCTGCAACTTTATACATGTGATATTTACTTTTGCATGGGCCCATATTTGCCGACCAATAGGTTCACTATGACAATATCGATCATACATGCAGGCTTTGCCAGTCCTTTATCAAATCTGCTTCTGCTTAAAGGGACCCTGTTCCCAGGATCCTCTGCAGCCCTTCAGCCATGTTTAAGTCATGTCAAGTTATGTTCACACCATTCATTCAGTATTGCCACGCCATACCTGCAATTTGTACACTAACTATTAGATTATCTGTGGGATTTTTTTGTTTTTATAAAACTTAAAGCATTATTTTATGATTATTAGTTGCATAATTTAACAACTTAATTTTATAAGTTTTTTGCAAAGCTTGGGTTTTTTTATATTGCTTAACATCTGATATTTACAACAGAAACATATACGGAATAATACAGCAGTTTCAGAAATTCAAAATAACATTACCCAATTAACTTTATTTCATGTTGTTACTTGACATACAACATTGTACCAAGCACACATTTGAGATTTTATTTTTTTTACAGCTTTTTAAACAATTTTATACTTTTGAGCAAGCATATCTTTTACAGATATTATGAGTTTAGTTGACCGTTCTATTTGGTCCAGTGTGCCTTGATTAGTTTGTATTTTTATATTCCAATCTGTATTATTTTACTTGATATTCTTTAAACTTCGCGATGTTAATTTAGGGTGAGGCATAAAGATTTTAGTCATTTGGGGGTGCCATTGATATTGTTCATACTGGAAATAAGTTATATTTTCATGAGTACACCACATTTTTTGGTCCATAAACCAGGTTTGGTTGTTTATTGTTACATTACCCTTTTTTTTTATGCCAACATATATTTTGGTTTATTTTATATAATTTCCACCAACCATTTTTTTACTGTAAGTTTATGGTGAGATTACCTTCTTTTTATTTTAAATTTCAGGTTTTTTTTAACCAAGGTATCCCATTTCCATTGGGCTTCCAGTATTTGCTTTTATTTTAATTCAGGTATTTACCATAATTCATTTTCTTCTGCTACTATTTTATAGCATTTTGTTTTATTTTTCCAGGCGTTGGCATATATTACTGGATGCGCTTCTTGTGCCTTTCCATTGGCTATATCGGAAAGGATGAGAGTGCACTGGCATATGGTACATGTATGCACTTCCACATTTCAGGTATCTTGGAATGATTGATTAATATAAGAGTAGTAACTCAATGCCCAGTTAAGAGTCTGGGGCCAAGTTTCTTTTTGGCTCTGTTTTAAGATTTTTTTTTTTATTGTTCTTTTAAGATTTCCTGGTCTTTTATACAAACTTTTTTCCAGGATAATCCTGAGTGAATATTCCTTATTGTTTAACAATATTGAAAACACTTTTTTCCTACAATTTACTTAATTTCATTACAGAATATCCCATCTTTTGATTTACTGGTTTTCCTTGTTTTTCAGTGTGTGCTGACTTCATTAGTTGCTCTAAAGTTTTTTTTATTTTTTCCCTTAGGGTAGAGAGGCTCCATGTGTTTCCTAATAAACACATGCTCTATTTGTTACACGAAAGGTTCATATTCCTTGAGTGTTTTTTTTTGGCCCCAAAGGGATTAATAGATTTTGTTACCATACAGTGCCAAACTTTTCCATTTTCCACATTTAGTTTTTTTCCTCGTCACGACCTTTAACCAGGTTTGACCCCTTTTTTCACTCTGTGAACCGAGGAATCGGCTGCTTGGATAAAAAGTTTTGTTTTCTTATTTTTTTTCAGCTTCTTTTTTTTTTTAATTCTGGGGAGATAAGCGTTGCTGAAACATGACCTTTGGACAAAACTACAGAGGATGGCTCTGAACCGTTATTTATAGTAAGGTTCATGCCAGTTGGAACTGTGCCTAAATTTATGTTATTTTCAGCACTTAGGGACTGTTTTCGAATTTTTGCTCCTGCTTTTTCAGTTGGCGGAGGTGCTGTGATAGGTCTGCGTCCTATAAAAGGTGGAAGTAAGGTGAATGGACGCTCATATCGGAATCCCCATTTTATTCTTTTACACAAGTACTTCCCTGGTTTTACAAATACTGCTTCAAATTTTTTTACGCATTTTCAAATAAGTTGGAGACCATTTTTTACAAGAACCTTTTCCTGGTCGGGGGTAGGTTCACCATACAGGGCCTTTACTTCATAGTTTTGTGACATTCCAGTTCCAAGTCACACTTTTTTTTTTTTGCTTTAATTACCTTTCCACAAGGGGTGAGTAAAGACTTAGTCCTATCTCTTGCTCCCTTACCCATTCAAGACTAGTAGCCCCAATTCGGAGGAGAAAATCCATGTGTATCCTTGGTATAAGCCCCCATTGCTGTGGGAATTGCTTGATTTTACAATCTCTGGTTGCCTCTCCCATGGGACAGATGGATGGTGATTCAGTAGCCACATGGTAGATGAGCCCATAGATGACCAAACGAAACAGGTTCCCCCGTATATTTTTTGCTTTCATGGATTAGTTTATGAAAACAAATAAACAAACAAAACACAGGTCTTTAACTGAGCCTTATAGGTTAGTACATTTTACATGACTATACACTATTTTATATTTACCTTATATATTCATGAACGATTATACTTACTTTTTTGATGGATACAGTTTGACTTGATCAGAATGTTTTCATACATTCCCATTTGGAGTGGCCATCAGAACCACTATAGGACTGGCCACATATTTTACAGGGAATGGTCCCTTTCATGTGGGTTTTAGGGGTTTTTTTTACTTCCCAATTTTTTGAGAATTGCTTTGTCTTCTATTTTCCATTGGTACCCAGATGGTTCTTTTTGTTCTTCCCTTTGCCTTTGCAGATTTTTTTGTGCTCATTTTTAAAAAATTGTTTGTACTAAATCTGCTATTCAAACTTCCTTCTGCACCTATTTTTCAGATGGGAGTAGGAATTTAGGAGTTCTCATAGCTCAACCTGTCATTAACTTAAAAGGTGAGTACTTACTTTCAGCTTGTTCCAAGGTTTTTATGGTCATCAGGACTGCAGGTAAAGCAGTTTTCCAATTTCAGCCTTGTGTTTGAATTTGCTTGGTCAAGACTGTGTTTTTTTGTTTTTGTTTTTACTTTTCCTGCACTTGGTGGGTGGTAGACCACATGCCATTTTTGTTTGATTATCCTTATTAATAATAATGCTTTTAACACTAAAAGAAAAGGAGTACTTGTGGCACCTTAGAGACTAACCAATTTATTTGAGCATGAGCTTTCGTGAGCTACAGCTCACTTCATCAGGATGTGATGTGATGAGCTGTAGCTCACGAAAGCTCATGCTCAAATAAATTGGTTAGTCTCTAAGGTGCCACAAGTACTCCTTTTCTTTTTGCGAATACAGACTAACACGGCTGTTCCTCTGAAACCTGTCATTATGCAAAGCTTTTACCACTGCTTCCATGAAGTGAGGTCCTTGGTTACTATTTATGACCAAGGGTATACCCCATTTGCTTAGCATTTGAGTCCATAAAGCCAGAGCTGTAGTTTGAGCTGTGTTATTTGTTGTGGGGATTACTTTTACCCATCCTGAAAAATTATCTATGACCACCAAGCAAAAGGGTTTTTTGTTTGTTTGTTTTTTGTTTTGGTAGAAGGTTTTTTTGGTTTTTTTTTTAAAAAAAAGGTCCAGTGTAATTCATTTGTAATTTTTGACACAGGCCCTTAGTGTTAGGTTGGTGTTTTAGTACCCCCCCCGCTTTTAGGGTTAACTTGGGCAGGCACCAAGCATTGTTGACAAAATTTGTTAATGTGCGTGTTCATTTCTGGCCACCACATGACATCTTTTACTTGTGGTGTGTTTTTTTAGCCCCAAAATGTCCTTGTTCATGTACAAATAGAATTTTTTTTATGTTGTTCTGGAGGTACCCATCTTTTTGTCTCCTTATTTTGCGATGATGACATTTTGTTTTTTGTTTTTCATTTTCCTTCTACTTCTGTTATTCTTTGTCTCACTTGTTTTCATAGAATCGTAGAATATCAGGGTTGGAAGGGACCTCAGGAGGTCATCTAGTCCAACCCCCTGCTCGAAGCAGGACCGCTCCCCAGTTAAATCATCCCAGCCAGGGCTTTGTCAAGCCTGACCTTAAAAACTTCTAAGGAAGGAGATTCCACCACCTCCCTAGGTAACGCATTCCAGTGTTTCACCACACTCCTAGTGAAAAAGTTTTTCCTAACATCCAACCTAAATCTCCCCCACTGCGACTTGAGACCATTACTCACGTAATGACCAGTGGGGGCCAGCCAGTAAAACAGAAGGTTTATTAGATGACAGGAACATGGTCTAAAACAGAGCTTGTAGGTACAGAGAACAGGACCCTTCAGTCAGGTCCATCTTGGGGGGCAGGGAGGCCAGAGCCACATCTGGGCCTCCCTCCATTTCCCCATCCAGCTCCAGACTGAAACTCTCCAGCCCCTCCTCTAGCCTTTGTCTCTTTTCCGGGCCAGGAGGCCACCTGATCTCTTTGTTCTCCAATACCTTCAGTTGGCACCTTGCAAGGGAGGGGCCCAGGCCATCAGTTGCCAGGAGACAGGGTGTCTGCCATTCTCTGTGCAGGCAGCATCACACTGGCCCTCCAACAATCACACACCCTTATCCCACCACCTAGATACTTAAGAACTGCAGAGGGGAATCTGAGGCACCCCCACAGTATTCAGAGGAAACATTAAGAACTTTCCCACTTTGTCACGATACTGTATGAATGCTTTGTGCTGTTTCAGAAGACTTTGATCAGCTGTATCAGTGTTTGTTTGCAGTTTTTTTGGATTTGCGTCTTTTTTCATAGGGCATTGAGTTACCGCTTCAATCTTACTTTGAACCACAGGAGATGTTGCAGCTGCTGCTTCCTTAGCCATTTCATCCACTTTTGCATTGCAGTATCCTTCCCGAGTATGCTGTTTAGCATGAGCCTTAACATGCTGGATTTCTGTGCAACCAACCCTTTTCCAAACACTGTCAATCATAGTTTTCCAGTAATCCCAGTATGCAACTTCTTTGCCTTCCTGCTGTTCCCATGTGGGTGCCCAGGTGCTTACTCCTTGCACAGCCCATTGAGAGTGAGCACATGTGACCAAGTCACAGTCCAAGGGAGTTGCTTTGAATGCTAGCTTGACTGCTGCCACTTTGCATTCCTGGGCTGACGTTTGTTCACAGGGGATCCCTAGTTCTCGTTCTGGAAACAAACAGCTGCTGCTGCACCAACAAGTTGACTTTCCTTGTAATAACCAGATCCATTTATAAACCATACTGTAGCAGGGTGGTTACCCGCTCCGGCCCTGACAGGGCTGAGGCCAGCCCTGGGAGAGGGCTGGGGCTGTGGGGAAAAGCCCAGCCCGATTAAGGGAGCACCCGCAGCTGTGGCCAGCTCAATCAGGCCCAGCTGGCCCCTATAAGAGGCTGTGAGCCAGGAGCCCAGTCAGTTTCCCTTTGCTGGTAGAAGGAGAAGGGCCTGGCTGCAAGGTGTTGAGCAGGACAGCTAGATTGGAGCAGGGCTGGGGAAGGGCTAGAGGAGCTGGGAGCTCTGGCCTGGAAAGCCTCAGGCTGCAGGCCTGACTAGAGGCTGAATAGGTGCAGGGTTGCAGAGGGGCAGCCCATGGGTAGGCAGAGGCAGCAGGTCCAAAACCCCCTTGCCTGTGATGAGTGGCATATACACTGCAGTCTGGCCCTGATATAAGGGGCTAAGTGGGGACTGGCAGTAGCCCAGACTGAGGTGAGATGGGGTTAGAAGGTGGGGGGTTCCCCTGGGTGGGGAGACCCAGAACCTGAGAGTATGGGGGTACTGCCAGGGAGGCAGCACCCCAGAGAAATGGGCACTGGGTCCTGGGAGGGACACGGGGGCTGGTGGTGCAAAGGGCTAATTCCCAGCGACCACCAGGAGATGCCACAGGGTTGAGTCTGAACCTTTACACATACCACTTGTGATCCAATATTGCCTGTAATAGATCCCCAGCTTCTTGCACGGGCCACTTGTACTGTGTCTGTATGGGTATAGGACATTCATGTTGTTTTCCTTCGATTATTAGAGCGTATGGAAGTAGTGGAGGTTCCTTTACTTTATTTACCACAAGCCTGCGGTTCTGTAGAATCAGGGCCCACTTAACCAAACGATGATCACTTACTTTAATATTAGTCTTTTCTTGCAGAATCAGCTTTACAGGGGGGAGTTGTGGTTACAATAATAGGAGCGTGTCCTGTTATGTATTCCCATTTCTGTAAGGCCCATATAATAGCCAAGCATTCCAGTTGTCAAGGTTCCTTCCCCACTCTGAACTCTAGGGTACAGATGTGGGGACCTGCATGAAAGACCCCCCCTAAGCTTATTTTTACAAGCTTAGGTTAAAACTCCCCCAAGGCACAGATTCCTTTCTTGCCTTGGGAACCAGCTTAGGTTAAAACCTGGTACGCTGCCACCACCAAGCGATTTATCAAGGAATCTGGGAAGAGCCCACTTGAAGATGTCTTCCCCCAAGCCCTTACGTCCTCTTTCCTGGGGAGGCTTGAGAATAAACAAGATGAGCACAAACCAGCCTTGGATTTTTTTAGATCCCTTAAAAACCCAATCAGATTCTTAAAAAGCAAAACTTTATTAGAAGAACAAAACAAAGATAAAAGAAACACTCTGTAAGATTAGAATGGAAGATAATCTCTCAGGCAGTCAGATTCAAAACATAGAGAATCCCTCTCAGCAAAACCTTAAGTTACAAAAAGACACAAAACCAGGAATACACATTTCCTCCAGCACAGCGAATTTACAAGCCAAAACGAAGAAAACCGAACACATTTTCTAGCTAGATTACTTACTAACTTTACAGGAGTTGTAGGGCTTGCATCCTTGATCTGTTCCTGGCAAAGGTATCACACGGACAGACAAAAGCCTTCCCTCCCACCCCCCTCCAGATTTGAAAGTATCTTGTCCCCTCGTTGGTCATTTTGGGTCAGGTGCCAGCGAGGTTACCTTAGCCTCTTAACTCTTTACAGGTGAAAGGGTTTTGCCTCTGGCCAGGAGGGATTTTATAGCACTGTATACAGAAAAGGGGTTACCCTTCCCTTTAGATTTGACACCAGTTCACATGGAGAAAACGTGGACCCATGGGGTGTTAATTTGCAGCTTCCATAAGCGACAGGGCATTGCTTTCCACACGTCTCCTGCAGCAGAACTGCACCTCTAGCTCCCAAGCTGTGAGACCATGAAGTAAAAAGATTTGGATCCGGCTCTGCTAATGCTGGTGCAGTCATAACTGCTTCTTTTACCTTTCCGCATGCCTCATTGTGTTCTGGGCCCCAGTCGCATTGGCAATTTTTTAAATTAGGGATCATAGGGGTCTACAAATTTCAGCAAAATTTGGTATAAAATCCTGACCAAATTCCATAGCTCCTAACAATACCCTAACTGAATGCACATCCACTGGCTTAGGGAGGGTGCGTAAGATTTTCACTTTTAGTTTACTGATAGTACGACCCTCCTGTCCCAAGATAGTACCTAAGTATTAACTTTTTGCTGTGCCTTGTCCCATGATGATAATTTTAAGCCTGTTTTTTTCCCACTATTCCCAGGACCAGCTTAGTTTGATGTTTACACTCCTCCTGGGAAACAGCTGTTGTTAGTATGTTATTCACACAAGAAGTAACCCACGGCTCATTCCAATCAGGGAGTTGATCCCACATCCTTGTGGCATGTGCATGTGCTCTAGCTGGAGCACCATGGTAACCCATGGGGACATGTTGAAATGTGAACGGTTTGTTCTGGAACGTAAAAGCAAACCAAGACGGACTCTCAGGGGTTAATGGAATAGCAAGGACACAGCTAGCAATATCCAATACAGAGAACCATTTAGCAGGTGAAGCTATTCCAGCCAATACAGCTGGAAAATTAGCTACTATTGGTGCCATCGGGACTGTAGCCGCATTGATTTTCCTACAATTAATCGTGAGGCGCCACCTTCCGTCCGCTTTCTGCACAGGCTGGATCGGAGAATTGTTTGGACTTTGGCACTTCACCACCACTTTTTGTTTTTTTTAAATCCTGCAGCAATTGTTTTCTATGCAGAACAGCTTCTGCAGGGTAGGAATATTGAGGAACTGGTTTTACAAATGTTCCTACTATTTTCACTGCTGCTTGTATGCCCCCACATTCGGATTTTTTTTTTTTTTTTTTTGGCCCACACCATAGGGAACTCCCGGGTCCATTTATTATCTGGTAACACCACAGCTGCTATGGCTTTACAAGCTTCTTTCCTTAATGCTCCTGGCATTACCTGCTCACTTACAATCCCTGTCCCCCTTTTCCACAGCCGACTTTCTGCCAGATCAGTTATCCATTTTTTCTGCTGTACCACATCTGCACCTAAGACAGCATTTTCAGTCATGCTGTTCCAGACCACTGTGTCTGTCCAAAACTTACTGCGTCCTGTCACCCGTGACAGATTTTTTTAAATAAAATTCCTTTTACTCCTTTGTCTTGAAAGCCAAATAAAGGAATAATTTGTCCTTTTTGCATGTCCTCCTGCACCGATTTAATCAGAGTTGCCTCTGCTCCTGTATCAATTAATGCTAGCAACCACTGTATGTTTCCTTTCGCCCTCACCTGCCCCACTTCCACGTAAGGTCTACCAGTTATGTGGGGCTGCAATTTAGCCGCTAACATTCAATCTTGGGGGCAGGGGTTGCTAAGGGCAAGGCAACCCTACTGAGATGTGGAGCTACTCTGTCGGGAAGCGGCCACGTCCATCTGAGCCAATTCCTGGGACAACAAGCCATAGGGGCCTACCAGATCTCCCAGGCCTGTTCCCACAATCTCAACAGGTTGTGGCATAGGCTGTGACTTGTTCCCTGCCAAATCACTCACAGCATTTAACAAAACCTCTGAAGTCTGTCCATGTAAACGAACCACATCTGTTCCTTTCTCCTGGAGTAAAGCCCATATCTGTGCTCACACTGATCCTCCACTGGACCCTCCGCATCTTCTGTTGGTTCGTCCCACTTTACGTCCCATACCGGCGTGATTAGGACCCCTGTAGGTAGCTCGGTTGCTGTAAGAAACCTCGCTGACTGCCTTCCGGGAGGAGCCACATATTCTGCTTACTACCGTTTTTGCCTCTCGGGCCATCTAAATTAACTTAGCCTGATCCAACTCCTTTTGAGATTCTATAAACACCTTAATAGGTTTCCTTAAACCATTATATAACAAATTTGTTACCTACCCTTCCTTGATATCAGCTAGAGAGCCTGCCGACAACAGTCCAGCACAATAAGCAATAACTGACTTTCCCTCCTCCTAATGCATCAGCAAAATTGCCTTTAACTCAGAAGGGGTTAAGAAATACCGGCCTATCATCCGTACCGCAGCCTCTCTGTCCTCTCGATTTGACTCCATCTCAAGCTCTGTTAACACTGCCACCCCTTCGGTAGGGCCAGCACAAGTTATTACTGTTACCTCAGTTTCCCTAGAAACCAACCCCGGGTTACACTTATATTGGTTTTATTAAATGCCGCTATTGGATCAAACAGAAAAAGGATGGCTCTTATTCATGCACGCACACATTCCCCACGTTCATACCCTCATGCACCCACACACTCACGCAGGCGGAGAGTTCCTGGAGACAGCACAGGAAGCTGGGAAGCCGAAGCCTCGTAGATCTTGTGTGTCTGCCTGCGGTCACGGATCCGGGCCGGCGAGCAGGTCAAGAAGCAGGGGCTTGTGTGCGTGCCTGCTTCCTTTTATTGGAACTGGGTGGCTCCTGTAATGTACACTGAGTTTTCCTTCTGTGTCCGTCACTGAGAAGCGTTCCCAGACCTCGTTCCTTTCATGCATACCAGGTTCTTCTTTTCTTTACAGCACTCTGTGATCGCCTTCTCAGGGCAGATTACATCAGACACACCCGGTTGCTGTCTCCGGGCTCTTTTCTCCTGGCAGTTCCTCTCCACCCAGCCGCACATACACTCCCTTGTTCACACTCTCCCTGGTGGCGTGATGGAATATTGAAAGCTTGGAGGTTTATACAAATGGTAATTGAAAAGGTTACAAAGCTTGCAAAAGTTGCAAAACTTAAAAGGCTATGTTAACAATAACTAAAGTTACAAAGTTTGCAAAAGGTTACAGAACTTAATGATCATACTAGCAATGACTGAAAAGTTACAGATCTTACAATCACATTCTACTGGATTGAGCGGAGGCTTTACATAACAATGACCAGCTCCCTTAGGTCTCCTGAATCCAAATGTTTTCTAACAGTGTATCCCATTAACCAAGTTAGACATGTCTTTTGAGTCAAGGGGCCTAGTTCATTGAATCATAGCATATGAGGGTTGGAAGGGACCTCAGGAGGTCATCTAGTCCAACCCCCTGCTCAAAGCAGGACCAATCCCCAACTAAATTATCCCAGCCAGGGCTTTGTCAAGCTTGACTTTGAAAACCGCAAAGGAAGGTGTCAAGGTTCCTTTCCCACTCTGAACTCTAGGGTACAGATGTGGGGACCTGCATGAAAACCTCCTAAGCTTACTTTTACCAGCTTAGGTTAAAACTTCCCCAAGGTACAAACTATTTTACCCTTTGCTGTTGGACTTCCACTGCCACCACCAAACTTTATCTGGGTTCCTGAAAAAAATGTAGTTTGGAAACATCTTTCCCCCCAAAATCCTCCCAACACTTGCACCCCACTTCCTGGGGAAGGTTTGGTAAAAATCCTCACCAATTTGCATAGGTGACCACAGACCCAAACCCTTGGATCTTAGAACAATGAAAAAGCATTCAGTTTCCTTACAAGAAGACTTTTAATAGAAGTAAAAAGGAGTCACCTCTGTAAAATCAGGATGGTAAATACCTTACTGGGTAATTAGATTCATAACATAGAGAATCCCTCTAGGCAAAACCTTAAGTTACAAAAAAGACACACAGACAGGAATATTCATTCTATTCAGCACAGCTATTTTCTCAGCCATTTAAAGAAATCATAATCTAACACATACCTAGCTAGATTACTTACTAAGTTCTAAGACTCTATTCCAGTTCTGTCTCCAGCAAAAGCATCACACAGACAGACCCAGACCCTTTGTTTTTCTCCCTCCTCCCAGCTTTTGAAAGTATCTTGTCTCCTCATTGGCCATTTTAGTCAGGTGCCAGCGAGGATACCTTTAGCTTCTTAACCCTTTACAGGTGAGAGGATTTTTCCTCTGGCCAGGAGGGATTTTAAAGGGGTTTACACTTCCCTTTATATTTATGACAGAAGGAGATTCCACCACCTCCCTAGGTAACCCATTCTTGTGCTTCACCACCCTCTTAGTGAAAAAGATTTTCCTAACATCCAACCTAAACCTCCCCCGCTGCAACTTGAGACCATTACTCTTTGTTCTGTCATCTGCTACCACTGAGAACAGTCTAGATCCATCCTCTTTGGAACCACCTTTCAGGTAGTTGAAAGCAGCTATCAAATCCCCCCTCATTCTTCTCTTTTGCAGACTAAACATTCCCAGTTCCCTCAGCCTCTCCTCCTAAGTCATGTGCTCCAGCCCCCTAATCATTTTTGTTGCCCTCCACTGGACTCTTTCCAATTTTTCCACATCCTTCTTGTCATGTGGGGCCCAAAACTGGACACAGTACTCCAGATGAGGCCTCACCAATGCCAAATAGAGGGGAATGATCACTTCCCTCGATCTGCTGGCAATGCTCCTACTTATACACCCCAAAATGCCATTAGCCTTCTTGGCAACAAGGGCACACTGTTGACTCATATCCAGCTTCTCGTCCACTGTCACCCCTAGGTCCTTCTCTGCAGAACTGCTGCCTAGCCACTCGGTCCCTAGTCTGTAGTGGTGCATGGGATTCTTCTGTCCTAAGTGCAGGACTCTGCACTTGTCCTTGTTGAACCTCATCAGATTTCTTTTGGCCCAATCCTCTAATTTGTCTAGGTCCCTCTGTATCCCTGCCCTCCAGCATATCTACCACTCCTCCCAGTTTAGTATCATCTGAAAACTTGCTGAGGATGCAGTCCTCACCATGCTACAGATCATTAATGAAGATATTGAAGAAAACTGGCCCCAGGACCGACCCTTGGGGCACTCCGCTTGATACCGGCTGCCAACTAGACAGTGAGCCATTGATCGCTACCCATTGAGCCTGATGATCTAGCCAGCTTTCTATCCACCTTATAGTCCATGGGGCACTCCTACTCCTAAAAAGAAACAAATGACAAATACTTCTGTGTGGATTATGTATCAGGCTGTGAATAAGTTTGCAGAGGAGCATGAAATTTGGAAACAGGATAAGGAAAGTTTGCAACAGGAGCTGGAGAAGCTGGACTCATGTTGATGGAAGTGTGCAGGGCTATTAATCACATCCTGCTCAGAAAAAACATTGCTGTGGAAAACATGCATGACACTGTGGATGGCTTTGCGCAAATGGGCTTCCCTAACTGTGGAGGGGTGATAGATGGCACACATATTCCAATTCTGCACCAGACCACATAGCCACCAAGTACATTAATCAGAAGGGGTATTTTGCAATGGTTCTCCAGGCGCTCATGGGTCACCGTGGGCATTTCACAGCCATTAATGCAGGCTGGTCTGGAAAGGTGCATGGTGCACGTATCTTTGGGAACCCAGGCCTGTTCAGGAAGCTGCAAGTGGGAACAGTCTTCCCAGACCAGAAGATCATCATAGGGGAAGACGAAATGACCATTGTGATCCTGGGAGATCCCACCTACTGCTTGATGCCATGGCTCATGAAGCCTTGACAGCAGCAAGGAGCGGTTCAAGAACAGTTTGAGCAGGTGCAGAATGACTGTCGAGTGTGCCTTTGGCTGTCTAAAGGCCTGCTGGTGATGTCTGTATGGGAAGCTGGACCTGGCCAATGACCACATCCCTATGGTTATAGCCGTATGATGTACCCTGCATAATATTTGTGAAGGGAAGGTTAAAAGTTTCACTCCAACCTGGAGTGTTGAGTCTCAGTGGCTGGAGGCTGAATTTGAGCAGCCAGAGACCAGGGCCATTAGGGGGGCACAACGCAGGGCCTTGAGGATTTGGGATGCTCTGAGGCAGCAATTCAATGCTGAAAGCAAGTAATGTTTGGTGCCATGCACAGGAGTGCAGTGGTTGTAATGCTAGTAGGTACCTAGTGCTCCATATGATGCACTGACTAGCAGTGCTTGTTGATTTCCTGGGCTATGCTTGCTTTCACTTAATGCAATTGTGACGTTGCACTCCATATACTTTATGAAAATATGCTTATGAACATGAATATAACATAACTGAAATATGCTTTATTCTAAATGCCCCATGTAACATACCATAAGAAAGGTTATGATCTACGGTGTTGGTGGTGACATGGGGGCGCAAGGGAAAGAGTTTTGGGACACAGGCTGCAGGGGAGGGCAGGCACGAAGCTGCTCCGTGTGCAGTTCTATGAGCGCCTGCATCGAGTCCACTTGCCGCTCCATGATGTTTAGGAGCCGCTCTGTGTTCTCCTGCATTTTTCT